AGGAGGGAGGGAGGGAGGGAGAGCAGGAGAGAGGGAAGGTGAAAGGCACTGAGAGATTATGACCAAGTCAGTCTCCTGCGATCTTGGTTAAATTCAGTTTCCAGGATGAACACAGAGGACCCCATACTTGCCCAGAGATGGCAGAACCCTGAGAGAGGTTTGCAGCCAGTCTGGCCCTCTGTGCGCCATCCCACGGTGTTCTGAGACCCAGCACTTACCATCTGCAGGCTCCTCCAAGTTATCGTGCCAAGACATGGGCTTTCTGGTAACTGTGTGAACTAGAGAAACAGCAGTACACTTCATGTTAGCACGAGACTCTGAGACCTAAGACTCACCTAGACAAGGTGCCTGAGCATAAGCCAGGTTCTGTGCAGGGCACTGGGGCATAAAGGCCTCACAGACAAGCATGGCACTCCAGTAGAGGAGCCAGAAGTGGCTGCCTGGACTGAGGATTGAAATGACCACAGTAAACATTCATTCCCTCAGCCACAGGCCACACTCCACAAGGCAAGTGTGGACACTGCCTTCATTTTGACTGCAGCAGAGATGCAGATTTCCATCATAGAAGAACATTCTCTGGGTCAGTGCTGGTTGACAGAGAAGCGACCACACTGGAGTCCAATTCCTGAAAACCAGACTTGGATGGACACACAGGAGGGCATAGATAGGAGAGGTCTCCACAGCCCTCCGTTTCCTGGTAATGATGGGAGCCCTGGAGATAGGGCCATGAGCAAGACAGAGATGCTCTCCGTGCTCCCCAAGTCCTGCTATATGTAGGGATTGTCAGTAGAAAGGCTCCCCAAGCTCCTAAGCCTTCCCATGTGTGACTGTCAGTAGTGATGATCCCTGTGACTGAATCCCAGTCTTCCCATGTGTGGTGACTGACAGCACTATCCACCCATGTGAAGGAGAACATGAAAGGGAGCTGTGTGGCAGGATGTGTGGCAACGTGTCCCCAGGGAGATGCACTGAGCCAAGCTCTGAGTGAAGGGTGGTATATGCTGTGTGGAAATGTGCAAAGATGAATGACAGCTTGATGAGTCAGAAACATCCAGAAGGAAAGTTCCTCAAGAAGAGCAAGTCGGTGAAGGGCAAGGGACCGGCCAGGCAGTGGACGACAGGGCCTGCAAGTGGCTTTCTTCTCAGACTCTGCTAACTGCTCTCCTTCTCCCAAGCACAAACACCGAACATATGTTCGTTTCACACTATTTGCTATCACCATTACATTAGTAAGACTGTGGATAAACGCAAGCATCAATACACACTATAACATTCTCTCACATACAATGGATCCCATCAATCACCTCCTGGAGCCAGGAGACAGCACTGCCCTAGAAAGCCTGACTGTGGCCTGTAAGCATTACTTAAAGTCCTGGAATAAACAGTGTTTAAACAGAACTGGAGATTAACTTTTCTCCTGACATTAGTGGCTGGGCTACTGAAGAAAACTAGGTTAGTTGTGAACAAAACAAAGCCACTTTCAGCAGACAGCTAGGCTTGGGAGGGGGAGCATGCACTTAGGAAATCCATTTAGGCAGAAACGGAGGGAAGTGGGAAGGGTGGGCAGGCGGTGTGCCTTTACTGGAGGTTCTCAGGTGGGATCACATCAGGTGGGGGCATGGGAGTGGGGTGCAGAATGGATTGGAGTTGGGTGGGAACTAGAACCAGATTCCTTAGGCACTGGTGGGTTTCAGCCTCCACTCAGCAACTCCAAGAGTTCACCAAAGTGTTTACAGAAGGACTGAAATGAAATGAATAAAAGACCAAATGAATATTTGGTTCTTTTTCTAATTATTTTTATTTTATGTGTATGAGTGTTTGCCTGCATGTAAGCGCACCATGTTGTGGCAGTGCCCAAAGAGGGCATCGGATCCCCTGAACTGAAGTTACAGGCCGTTGTTGGCTGTCATGTGGGTGCTGGGATTTGAACAGGGTCTTCTACAAAAACAGTCAGTGCTCTTAACCAGAGACATCTCTCCCGCCCTCTGCTTGGTCTTTTCACAGAGAGTGGGGCCCGCTTGGAGGGAAGGGGAGTAGCTGGGCGTTGTGGGGGTGTCTGTGGTCCTGCTGGGATTTAGGGGAGGATAGAGGAAGATTCTGGTGGTGGATGGAGTGGGGTAGAGGGGCTGCATATGCATTAAGGACCTTTCTCTACGGTGGGAGGACCACGTGGAATGAGCAGTGTGCGGAGAGGGGAGCGAGGTGGAGGCTGACTTAACCTTAGCTGGGGAAGGGGGAAGGCTGAGGGGTGCCCTGCCCCCAGGTAAGGTGGGGAGGCCCCAATGAGGGTGGATGCTCCAGGGAAGGCTGGGAGGAGGTGGGGCACGTGGGTTGGGAGTTCTATTTCAGGCCCAGAGGTATTTAGAGCGAGCTAATGCCACAGAGTCCCTTGAAGTCGCACAGGAGGGAGACTGAGAGGCCTGGAGGATGGGAGGGTTTGTGGTGGGAGGGAGCTCTGTGCCTGCCCTGGAGCCCACCACTCCTGAGCTTTCCCAGGTCTGCAGCAGTATCGAAGTCTCAAAAAATCCTTGGGCTTATTAAAAGGAAACCAAACTACTAACAAAAACAAAACATAAAAACCCTCACAATATAATTACTTCAGAAGCAAACTTACAAACAAAAACCACCTCGTCCTCCATCTAAAACATCTGATTGAAACGTGGGTGCACGTCGGTGTACCCCTGGCCGCGCTCACCCTTGCGCAGGGGGTTCACGTGATACTCCGTGTGCAGCTTCTGCGCTCGCAGCTCTTTCAGGATCAGTTCCCGCAAGATCTGGTTCTGGTGAACCTCGTCGTGGATCGGCTTCTCTTGCATCGAGTGCGCCATGGCCTTGCCCCTGCCCTCCAACTGCGCGATGCCAGGGGACCCCTGGACCCTCTGCCGTCTCCGGGCAACAGGTTCCTTCCGCTCCAGCCACTAGCGTCCCTTCTCGTTTCTAGGCAACCACGTCCCGGTTCCCCGCACCGGCCTCCCTCTACCCACTGCCCCCACCCCCGTCTCCAGCTCTCAGGTTTCCGGCTGCCTGGGACTTGGGCTCTTCCCTGCTCTGAATCCTGACATCCGGCTCCGGATCCGCAGCCGCCCGACGCCAGCCACCGGAAAGGGCTGCGCTCCAGTGGCCGACGCAGGAGGGAAAGGTTGAAGAATGGACCTCAACGTGGCCAGCCATTTCCTAGACATAGCTGGTTTGAGAAGAGATCAAAGCCTTGGTAGGCTTGAAAGCAGATGCCCAGAAAAAATTTAAAAAAATAGTAAAACCCTCCAACACGCACGAACACATAAAAGCACACAAACCCACGGAAATCTTCTGACCCGTGCAATGACACGAATCCCAGCTCTTTCCTAGGACACCGCCACCTTTATGACTCATTTCTATTTAATAATTATTTTGCGATACTGGAGACCGAATCCAGAGCCTTCTGCACGCTAGGCAACTATTTCACCACTCAGCTCTATCTCCAGCACTTTTTTTAAAAAGAGGTGTCATGAAAAAACCTATAAAGCCTTTTTATTTCTGGTCTCAAACCTGACATAGTTTTCTTCTTCTCCTTAAGTGCATAAGTCTATAAAAATGTAATTGACAGGGCCGGAAAGATGGCACAGTGATTAAGAGCACTGGCTGCTCTTGCAGAGGACCCAGGTTCAGTTCCCAGCACCCACAAGGTGGCTAACAACCATCTGTTACTCCAGTTCCAGGGGACCTGTCGCCCTCTTCTGACCTCCAGGGACATTGCACTACATGAGTGCACTTACATGCATGTGGGAAATACACTCATACACATGAAATAAAAAATAAAATATTTTTAATGTAATTGACAGTGACTATGTAAAACCCTAAGCGAAGCTCCATGCCTTTGGAATGGCCATTCTAACTGTACAGAAAGTCACTGAGATGCAGAGTCTGGGACTGGGCAATTGCTGAGTGGCTTCCTTAATCCGGTTGTGTAATATTTTCATTTGTGAGTTCATTGCAATAAATGACTTTATTTAATTTAAATAAAAAGAGACCGGGTCATGATAAATTGCCCAGGCAGGCTTAAACTTGCAATCCCCCTGCCTCAGCCTCCTGAGTTGCTGGAATTACAGACCTGTATCATCAGACCCAAGGACTTTCAGTTTTCACTGGTGTAGAATACATATAATCCAATATCTCTCTTAGCCATTTTTAAGTGTCAGTCCAGTGGTATGAACTATGCACTGTTGCTAAAATATCTTCCCTCGGGGAGATGTAAACAATGTCTACTGCCTCCCTCCTAATGTCCTAACTGCAAACTGGGGTATGAGTCCACCAAAGTTCCCACGGGGGAACTTTGTTTATTAGGCTTGAAGAGCAATGGGTGAGGAACTATGGGCAGGAGCATGAGTGGCCTCAAAGCAGCCACACTGGGAGGTCTGCACGCAGCTTGACCGATGACCTCCTGGGGGGCTGTATTGATGGACCTTCCCAGCCTATGTACTCTAGCTGTTCCAGGGGTCATGTGAAATTAGAGCAAAATTGCATACAGCCTGTGGGAGGATCAGCTGGATGTTCATGTGAGGGTCCCCTGATCCTGCAGGCACTCCTTCTATGAGGAAAGTCAGCCATCGTTGATCATCCCCAGCTGGGGTGATCATTTGCAAAGAGGCACAGCTCATCTCATGAAGATGGTGGCAGCTTGGCTTGGAGGGTAGTACCGCACAACACGTACACAGTGTCAGAACTTCTCACCCAAAGGCAACTCTCCTCTGACCCATCCTCTGGTGCCAGCATCCTGCAACTGTGAATTCAACACCCCGGCCACCAAAGTTAAAATGGCTTTTTGGGGTCTCCATCATCTTCATGAGAGTAAGAAGAAAACAAGCCCGCCTACTGCTAAGAAGCCACATGCTGGTTTGGGAATAATTAGCAAAATCACATATGTCTCCTGTCAGCAGAACTTCCTTCAGCCTAGACTATTGGCCCAGCACCTGGGCCCCTCCACATGGGACTGGCACTAGAGCTGTATGGAGGGCCAGAAAGAAATCCTAGACTAAGAAGAGACAGCAAGTAAGGACACAGTGAAGTGTTTAGGACATTGATGGGGCTGTACTCTGTGATATGCAAATCAAAGAGGAAACAGGGAATATTTGAAACTTTTTAACAAGGGACAAAAGCTGAGGAGAATTCAAATGACTCAAATAGTAAGAGTAAAATATTTGACACTGAAGGGAAGGAACAGAATTTCAGAAATGGTCAAAACCTGGTGTTTATGGGATATGGGTGAAATTGAGTTCAAAAGAAAGCGGGAAATTCTAACAAGAGGCCGTTATACCAGGTTAGTAAAGATCAGAGAGACGTGTGACAAAGAAAGATTAGGAAAAACACGAACTCCCCGGGTACACTAGGTGCAGAATTTGCTTGTTTTTGGTGGTTTTGAGACAGGATCTCAAGTAGCCCAAGCTAGCCTTGAACTTCTGATACTCCTGCCCCCACCCTCCAAGTTGCTGAGATCACAGACATGCACCAGACGTGCACCTTACTTAAAAGAACTTAAAAAATAAGATTTTTGTGCTGGGCATGGTGGCACACGGCTGTAATCCCAGCACTTGGGAGGCACAGGCAGGCAGATCTCTGTGAGTTCAAGGCCAGCCTGTTCTACAGAGGGAGTTCCGTGGAAGCTGGGGCTAAGGGTGTTGCAGGACCTAGAAGACAACACCAGGGGATTCAGGAAGCAGGTTTACTCAGGTGGCCAGAGGGCTTAAATCTCAAAGTCGGAACCCCAAAAGGAGGAAGCATTTATCTTCTATGCCTTAGGCAGTAAGTCACAGTGAAAGGAAACTTACATACAGTTCCCAAAGGAGGCAAATTATTATAAATTTATAAAGAAAACAAATGTTAAAAATAATCCTTTGTCTGAAAAATCATTGCAGAAGTCTCCATCTGAGACAAACAGAACTGAGGTTTAATCAAGACACAAGGCCAGTGGTTCTAGCTGTGTCCGTGTTCTAACCACAGTTTTCCCAGCTGAACTTTGCTGACAGACATGGGGAGAGAACAAGGACTGAAATCCTTAACATCATTAAATGTTTCATTTAGCTACGTTACAGGGAGACAATCTCAGAAACAAACCACCAAACGAACAATAACAAAAGGCTTTTGAATGTTTGTGAATACCCTCATTCCTGGGCTTCTGCTGAAGGCGACTTCAGCTGTTGAGATGAAATGTCATGGAGAAGACATGGAGCAGCTCTGCAGGGAAGGGAAGGAAGGCTTCCTGCATGTCCTGCATGCCCAGCAACCCGCGTGCTCAACAGAGTCACAGGAAGGAACAGGATGGGCAGAGGCGGGATAAGTAATTTTTTACTCCCACAACACGCATCGAACTCTAAAAGCAGCACATTGCAGTTTTCTAGGACTCAGCACTTTCTTTGACAATACAGCTTCTGCAGAGCAAACTTCATGTCTTTGTTCCTCACACAGTAGACAAGAGGATTCAAAGAGGGTGTGAGCACAGAGTAGAAGATAGATGCCAGGCGACCCTGGGTCGGGGAGTACTGAGAGGCAGGCCTCAAGTACACGAAGCTTCCAGTTCCATAAAACAAGACCACCGTGGTCAGGTGAGAGGAGCAGGTGGAAAAGGCTTTCCCTCTGCCCTCCACTGAGGGGATGCGAACCACCGTGGAGACGATGCCCACGTAGGAGAGGACCGTGAGGGCAAAGGAGCTCATGAGGATGCAGCTGCCGACAGCAAAGCCCACCTCCTCGTTGACGTGGTAATCAGTGCAGGACAGTCTCATGACTGGAGGGATGTCACAGAAGAAGTGTTCGATGACATTGGGTCCGCAGTAGGGGAGGGAGAAGGTGTTGAAAGTGTGGAAGGCTGAGTAGATGGCCCCGCTCACCCAGGCGGCAGCGACCAGCTCAGAGCATCGTCTCTGGTTCATGATGACTCCATAGAGCAGGGGCCTGAGGATGGCCAGGCAGCGGTCATACGCCATGGCTGTGAGCAGAAAGCACTCAGTGCAAGCAAGTGTAAAAAATATGTAGAGCTGTGCCACACACTGGCGATAGGAGATGACCCCCGATCCCGTGAAGCTTATAACCAGTGCCTTGGGGATGGTGGCTGAGGTGTAGCACATGTCTAGGAAAGATAAATTCTTGAGGAAGAAGTACATGGGGGAGTGGAGCCTGCTCTCTCTGGTCACAGCTGTGACTATGGAGATGTTCCCCAGGAGGCCAAAGGAATAAACAAGCAAGAAAAATGGAATGACCACGAGTCTCAGCTCGGGGACATCTGAGAAGCCTCTGAGGATGAAGTGAGTGACTCTTGTCTGGTTGGACATGTCTGCTCAAATCGTGTTCAGATGCAGTGGCCACACAGCTGAGGGGACGGAAGCAGGAGACAGGCTCAGAACATACGTGGGCAGGTCCATGTAGTCTGGGGAGGTGTGGCTTCTCTCTGTGGAAAAACACTTTGTGAATCAGCTTGTCTAAATGGCATTTTGACAAACCAATGACCAGGACATGGAGAGGGAGAGAAAGGAGTATTAGTGGGGGGCAATGGATGAGAGGGAGGGAAGGGAGAGGGGAGAAACACTAAAATACATTTGGCTG